GAGAGATGAGACGTTGAAGGAATAAGGTGGACGGTGGAGATGAAAGCGCGTGGCGCGTGGCGAAGGTGATTTGCGTGGTGGTGGGTATGGGAGCCACGCTGGCAGGAATAGTGTGGTAGATTGCGTCGAGTGTGCGACAAAGAGAAACATGGAGGATGTAGGCGACGCTACTGTAGTGCAGTTACCGACCCCACCTTGTTATTAGTAGTTATTACTGCCCCTAAACGCACCGTATTCATGCATGTCTTGTATTGAAGAGTGGGGATAGGTGTTTTTGACTATAAAATTTAATTAATTAAAATTGAACTTTTATTTTCAAAGTCAATCAATTTTATTTTTTAAATGTGAATTTTATCATGAAAGTAATTCAGATAAAATTTAAATTTTATTTAATTGTAAAACTATGTAAAATAAGTAAAATATATTTTTTTATTATATCCATTAATTATCTAACAATATTAATTATAAAATAGTTTAAATTTATTTATTAGTATTTGTGATTAAAAAATTAATAAATATAAACAATATTTCATTTATGTCAACATTTTTTGTATTGCGTTAATATATTGGCTTATTTCTTATATATTATTTTCACATTTCATACATTATTGTTCTTTTTTTATTAATGTAAATAAAAAAGTTTCAGTTTTATTAAAATTAGAGAGATATATTAGTTAGAAGAGCTTTGAGAATCCAAGATTCTATCTTGACTTTTGATCGTCCCACAAGCTCAGTATCTTCTCCAAGCTAGATACTAAAACCTCTTATAGTTGCAGGAAGATTTTTATAGTTGAGATGTATGAAGATTGAAGTTGAGAAGCTAGGATTTGAGAGTTATGCGGAAAGTTCTCCTCTTTTTCAGTCTTAGGTTTTTTAGAAAACTATTTGAGGTAAGAAAAGTTTGAATATTGTTCCTCTAGGTTGATAACGTCTCTATGATGTTATTTTGATGTAAGATTTTGATATTGAGATGGTAAAGAATTTTCTCTTGCTTGGGTTTCAATTTGGGTCTTCTCCAAGAGGATGTTTTTGTGTTGAAATCATGCTTGCATGTGTGGTCTTGTACAAGTTATGGGGTTATGTATGAAGTTAAAGTGTTAGATTTAGTTTTAGGTAAGGTTGAATGTCTTGCTTGGTGAGTTTTCCAATAATGATGAACCAAGTGTGAAAAGATAGACTTTAGCTCAACGAAAATGATAATTTGGACGAATCATGGTTGAATGAACCATTGTTGGCTTAGCCAAGCATACAAGTGTTTTGGGACCCTCATAGTTTTGCTCAATAAAATAAGCTGGCTAAGTGAGTTTTAGTCTCTTTAGGCTAGTATGAGAAATCTGCTCAATGATATTTGGCCTCTGTGGTTGCCTTATTTTGAATCACTTAGTGAATGCATGGTTCTTTTATCAGCAAATATTGGTCTTTATGAGATGGTCATTTAATTTGCTTGGTGAATGGAGTCTCATTTAACGAATTTTTACTTTTATGATTGGCAATTTTTGGAGGTTCACTAAGTCAAATGTTTTGATTTAGTGAACCATGTCCCCTAATTTTTTGGTTGTTGAGGTTTTCTTACCAAGGGATTTTCACTAAGAAAAAGTTTCTCATTGATTTGAAATTTTCTCAATGAAAAGGGTTCACTCAATGAATCCCATATTTTTCTACATGGTGTTTCTAATGGATGTGTGAAAATGTTCTCAATAGCTTGGAAGACTAAAAATGTGTGATTTGTGTTTGTGTCCCATTTTGTGGTCATGAACCTAATCATGGTCATGCTTTAAATTGATTTATGTGCATATTGCATGACATTATGTGTTGTGGATTTTAGGGGTTGAGCCTCCTATCCTTGTAATGCTTTGAAAATATTTTCAAAAGTGATTTTTTAAAAGATAATGAGGTGGCTTCCAATAGAAACATTATGCTAAAATATTTCAATGGAAAATTTCGTTGAACGAATCTTTGGGATGTTTCGGCCTTCGTTAGGGATGGCAAGTAAATTAGCATTCGTGAGTAATAGTCAAAATCACCTTAAGTTTGACGGGAATATCCAATTTGATCGGGTACGGGTAATATGCGATTTATTAAATCGAGTATGGGGATATGGATGAGTATATACTTATCCGCTCCGTACTTGTATTCACTTTAAATTTTTATAAACTTTTATTTTATTTTTAAAAAATTACTTTATATTTATATAATTTCCATTATATTTTAAATTTATGTCAAATAAAACTTAATTAATAAAATTTTGTAATTGTTACTTTATGTCAAAATTCTTATTTTTTCTATTTTTTAGGAAAAAATTAATTATTTTTTAAATAAATACAAATATACTCAATATCCGATAGAGATGGAAATGAATATACAAATTTCATACTTGTCGAGTATAAGAACATGGATGAGTATATAAGGTACGAGAACAAGGATAAAGACAAAAATAATGAAACTCGTACCCACCTTATCCCATTGTCGTCCGGAGGCTTCATGATCTTATTAATGGGCATATTCTTCTTAAAACAAATTATTTTCTCCTTTAAATGTGTTGTGAAAATAGTACGAGTGAGTCTTTTCATATTTGTGTACATTAGTGTAAAATAGCTTTTAATTTTTTTTTTTACTTTTAAAATTGGTTATTTTAATATTTTAACGTAGTTGACTTAGTAAGTGTGAACATTTAAAATTGATTATTTTAATGATTTTAACATAGTCGACTTAATAAGCGTGAATATTTTAAATAAGTTATTCACAACTAATTTTTAGAGTATAATACAAAATTGATCGTAAACAACCGATTTTAAATGTGTGGAGAGCATTTTGGGGCCAATGGAGTTTCCCCATGGTGAGTCACAAATAAGCCACCATTGCTACAAATAATGTCATCAGTCATCAAGCCTCTTCCCCTACCTCTCTTATTCCCATCTTCAACTCGGTCTTGCCACAAACACAAGTTAGAGAAGAAGGAGTTTTCATGGGTACAATGACAAACTTGCAACAAACACATTAACACAAATCAAAGACCACTACTTCGAGCATGTCGTTAAAGGTCAGCGAATATGGGTCTCAAATCATGTGGTTGTGAACATGAGCCTTGTTTACCCTTTTTCACCACCCCCTCTTCACCATTGTCACCCCTTTCAACCCCACACGTCGCCACCATGTTGCCACCTCCACCATCTTTGGGTGTGATGAGTCTAACACTTTTGACCAGTGGGTCAATTTATAGGTCCAGACAAAGGTTGTTACTCTTCCTTTGATTTTGACTTCGAGAATGGCAAGGTTAAGCCTCTAAAGGGTGAGAGAATACACAAGGTGGGATCTACATATGCAATTGTATCTTTTACATCTAATATTTGAAATAAGTGAATGAACATGAGAAATGTTTGAAAGCCATGGGAGGGCGAGAGAATACATGAGGTAGGATCCACATATGTAGTTGCAATCCCTTTACCAATTGTGCATTCTTTGTTTAGATTTGCATGAATGCAATTGCTTACAAATTCAGTTAACAAAAAAATAATTTGGTATCTATAAAATTGGCTACACTTGTCATCGATTTTGTAAGTTGCGTACAAAATTGGTTATTTGTAACTGGTTTTGAAGGTGCACACAATAATTACAATTTTGTCACTTCATTTGTTTAAAATTGCCTCCAATATAATTGTTTTTGAAGGGACAATTTCGTTGGGTTGATAGATTGTTAGGGAGAATCCCAACCAAATTGAGTGGGCACATAAATTACGAATTGTTAGTAAATCCCTACCTAATGTGAGATAAATGTGTTGGATTTAAAGGATAGGAGGCAAGTTAATCACACACTAGGCATAAAATTTGTAACTTGATACTGTGACAGACTTGTACCCAAGCTTTTTTATTCTCGATAGTAGTTTGATGTTTTCTTATTTTATATTAACAAAGTTTGAAAGGCCATCTTAGGATGATCTAGTATGACAAAATTGAATAAATTGCTCATATAAGATATCTCAAAATAATGTGTATGTGATGAGAACAATGTATGTGGGATGCGATGAGATGTGTGTTTCGCATATATAGTGTGGTGTATATGTTGACGTGTATGTGTTTTTTGTTGTAAAGATGTTGTGTTGTGTGAGAGCTTGTGGTGTTTGAGTTCTCTATAATTCATGTGATGCACTTCCCATTTACTTTATCACTTTTGATATAAAGTTTACCTTTTTATTGTGTATTTGATTGTGACATTTATATACTTGACATGAGAGCGAACCAGTATTAACTTGATCAAGCAATGGTTGTGAGCTACAAGAGGACCATTTGAGGATGGTGGGGTTAGAGATTTTGATCTCTTGGATTTTTATAGTGTGTAGATTGACTTTAGGATGTTTTTGTTTTGGCATATGTATATATTTTTGTGACAATGTAACCTTACAAGGAGATTTGTTTTTGGTGTTGGTGATTAGGATTTGGGGATTTGTTCATGATCAGAGGATAGTATGTAGTGGTTGATCCCTATATATGTGTGTGTGTTTGATGTCCAAGTTTTTCTTATGCACGTTGGTCTTGGGATAGGTGACTTATCGATGATGTTTTATACATGTGTAATGATATGTTAGACCTTTATAATACGTGGAATCACACGAGGTGCGTTGGGATGAAAAAATGGAATTTTATGGTGCAAAGTAGTAGGATTCTCTTTTTGAATTTAATAAGATACTTCTTTCGATAATTGTTTTGAATTTTGTCCTTTTTTATTTTAGTCATACATTTAAATAGCTTTTTCTCTTTCAATATATTTTTTATCTCAATTTATTTATTTATTTTAATTTATTTAAAAAATAGAAGCATAAAGTACCTTTTGTTTTTCTAGTTATAAATTACTAACGGGGTCGAGACATTTTGTACCTTTATTAAAAATAAAATAAAAATAAGAATTAAATAATAAAAATATGTTGATCTAATTGATATTATGATTAATCCATTAGTTTTAAGTTCTTAAATTTGATTAAATTTTTTTTTATAATTACTTAAAATAAAATGGTATAATAATAAAAAAAAATGGAGATCAAGGTGGTTACTAAAAAAGATATTCCCTTTATATATACTAGTGGAGTCAAGGCACTTCGTGTCTCTATTAAAAATAAAATAAAAAATTAGCAACCCTAATGCATGAATTTTAGAAAAAGGAAAGTTTCTCAGTATATTTATTCATATGTTTTCTTGTGAGCATTATGTATCATTGTATCAAGGGTGTCTCAATGCCCCTCAACTTTTTATGGGGGTAGGATTCTATCATAAAAAGAAATGCTGGGCATAATGTTCATTTGCTCTTAACAAATATCCTTATAATTTTCTTTTCGTGATTTTTTTTTTCATATAATGCTTTTTAGAGCCTGCAAGATGCAATTATACCTTTTCAGATTTTAGGGGGTGAAGCTCAAGTGGTTCAGGTATATGTGACCATCCTTTGTTTAAAAAAATGTCAATTTTTTTAAACCTTCTTTTATATCATCTCTTTGACTGTGTAATATATTATTCATTTGGTTCTTGCAACACAGATAATGTTGAAGCCACAAGAAAAAATCATTGCAAAGCCTGGTAATTTGTTAGATGTTAGACACTTCAAATGAAAATTTTGTGCTATCATTTTGAATTGTAAACATCAATTATATGCTTTAATTAGTTAATATGAACTGATCTAAACATGATTTTTATAGATAATAATCAATATTACAACATGAGGGTTGTAGCCTTGTGACTTGGATGTCATGGGTTCAAATTGTGGAAACACCTCCCTGCTTGTGGGTGCATGGCTGTATATACCCCCCCCCCCATGGTGCAAAGTAGTAGGATTCTCTTTTTGAATTTAATAAGATACTTCTTTCGATAATTGTTTTGAATTTTGTCCTTTTTTATTTTAGTCATACATTTAAATAGCTTTTTCTCTTTCAATATATTTTTTATCTCAATTTATTTATTTATTTTAATTTATTTAAAAAATAGAAGCATAAAGTACCTTTTGTTTTTCTAGTTATAAATTACTAACGGGGTCGAGACATTTTGTACCTTTATTAAAAATAAAATAAAAATAAGAATTAAATAATAAAAATATGTTGATCTAATTGATATTATGATTAATCCATTAGTTTTAAGTTCTTAAATTTGATTAAATTTTTTTTTATAATTACTTAAAATAAAATGGTATAATAATAAAAAAAAATGGAGATCAAGGTGGTTACTAAAAAAGATATTCCCTTTATATATACTAGTGGAGTCAAGGCACTTCGTGTCTCTATTAAAAATAAAATAAAAAATTAGCAACCCTAATGCATGAATTTTAGAAAAAGGAAAGTTTCTCAGTATATTTATTCATATGTTTTCTTGTGAGCATTATGTATCATTGTATCAAGGGTGTCTCAATGCCCCTCAACTTTTTATGGGGGTAGGATTCCATCATAAAAAGAAATGCTGGGCATAATGTTCATTTGCTCTTAACAAATATCCTTATAATTTTCTTTTCGTGATTTTATGCTTTTTAGAGCCTGCAAGATGCAATTATACCTTTTCAGATTTTAGGGGGTGAAGCTCAAGTGGTTCAGGTATATGTGACCATCCTATGTTTAAAAAAATGTCAATTTTTTTAAACCTTCTTTTATATCATCTCTTTGACTGTGTAATATATTATTCATTTGGTTCTTGCAACACAGATAATGTTGAAGCCACAAGAAAAAATCATTGCAAAGCCTGGTAAGTTGTTAGATGTTAGACACTTCAAATGAAAATTTTGTGCTATCATTTTGAATTGTAAACATCAATTATATGCTCTAATTAGTTAATATGAACTGATCTAAACATGATTTTTATAGATAATAATCAATATTACAACATGAGGGTTGTAGCCTTGTGACTTGGATGTCATGGGTTCAAATTGTGGAAACACCTCCCTGCTCCCCCCCAAAAAAAAAAGAAAGAAAGAAAGAAAAATAAAAGAGAGTTCCATGCACTTGGCTGATAAAAAGTAAAAGAGAGTTCATGGCTGCCCTTTTCATTAATATTGTAACGGATGCTTAGGTCAATTATGTGTCAGGATGTTTATCAGTTTACCATGGTGCCAAATATTGGTCATGACTCTTCAGCATCAAATGTGGAAGAAATAACCTATTATTTGGTTTGCAAATATTTAATGATCATTTTGGACTAAATCTATTTTTTTAGTTTGCTCAAAATATTTGAGGAAGTACTTGAAAAATGTAGGATTGGAAAGGCGTTCCAAAAAATGAATAATGAGTTCCTGATTATCAAGTGAGTTTAAAATCATGCTGAATGAAAAAAATGTTCTGCTACAAAAAAAAAAGAAAAAAAGTTAAAGCTTGTGAATGTAAGTTTTTTTTTCAATACCATTTGAGTTGAACTCAACTGGTTCCCAAACACACCCTAAATTGTTTTTTGACCTGTTGGCTCACAAGCTTGCTGGTAAGCACATTTTTTTACTATTTTAGCTCCCCTATTTCTTATATGGGGAAGTATCTTCATCAAGTAGGTGTTACGTGAAGTAAATTTTAGTGAAAATGGAGATGTACAAATAATTTCTTTTGGTGTTTTCCTTGTAGTATAGGAGATTGGCTTTGGTGTTTTGTTCTCGCGGTACATGTTGTATAGTGAACTCGTCGAAGGACGAGATTTGTTGTGACGCCATGTGGAAATACCGCTGTAGGAGGACGTCCTTAGCCTGGTATGTTCCGCTGAGCTGCTCTACCATGAGTTTTGAGTCGCTGTTGCAACTCACTTTCCGAGCTCCGAGATCGTGAGCCAATCTCAGCCTTGCGAGAAGCGCCTCATACTCTGCCTGGTTGTTGGTCACCTTGAAGCTGAACTTGAAGGATTGTTCCAAGGTGACTTGGTTCGGCCCCTCCAAGATGATACCTGCACCACCACCTTTGGAGTTGGAGGACCCGTCAACGTATAAAGTCCATACTTGTGGTTCTTCGGCTAAGGTAGGTGTGAGCTCGGCCACGAAGTCGGCTAGGCATTGGGATTTTAGGGCGCCGTGACTTTCGTATTGGATGCCGAACTGGGACAATTCTACCGACCAGGCTATCATCCCCCCGACGAGCTCTGGCTTCCTCAAGATCTGTCTGATCGGGTAGTCGATCTTGACGACCAGCTGGTGGCTCTGGAAGGAAGGTCGGAGGCGCCGAGCTGCGGTGACAAGTGCCAGTGCCAGCTTCTCGATCATTTGGTACCGTTTCTCCGTGTCTTGGAGGACTCGGCTAATGAAGTAGATTGGCATTTGTACCTTCTAGTGTTCTTGTACTATGACTGCACTGATGGCGTTTTCTGCTACGGCCAAGTAGAGGAGGAGGTCGGTTTTGTGATCTGGCCTCTACAGGATTGGCGGGGTCGTGAGAAAAGCTTTGAAGCTCTTGAAGGCTTCTTCGCATTGGTCTATCCACTCGAAGTTTTTTGGCTTGCGCAGCAGGGTGAAGATGGGCCCTGCCTTGTCTGCCAACCTGGGGATAAACCGGGAAAGGGAGACCAACCTGCCTGCCAGACGCTGGACATCTTTCACGGTTTGGGGACTTTGCATCTAAATGATGGCTTTACACTTTTTCGGGTTGGCCTCGATCCCCTGCTAGTGATCATGAAGCCCAGGAACTTACCTCCCTGGACACCGAAGACGCACTTCTCTGGGTTGCGGCGCATGTTGTCCTCCTGATCTGGCTAAATACTTCGGCGAGGTCGGCAGTATGAGCTTCTACTGAAGTGGTCTTGACCACCATGTCGTCGATGTATACCTCCATGTTTCTCCCGATCTGCTGGTGGAAAACTTTGTCCATCAGCCGCTGGTAGGTGGCTCCTGCATTTTTGAGGCCGAAGGGCATTACTCTGTAACAGTAATTGGCGCGGTCAGTGATGAACGACGTATGCATCTTGTCTGATGGGTACATCATGATCTGGTTTTACCCAGAGTAAGCGTCAAGGAAACTAAGGAGGGCGTGCCCGGATGCCCCGTTGACCAGCCTGTCGATACTCGACAATGGGTACGAGTCCTTGGTGATGGAACTAGGTGAGGAGATTGATGTTCCTTCACTTTGCTCCATGCTTAGGACCGTGAACTCTTGAGGTAGATCTTTGGAAGAAGCTTGAAGCTCCATGAAGAGGTCTTCAACGGAGGAGAAGCCTCAAGGTGGTTCGGTTACTCCTTGCTTAGTGTAGAAGCTTGAGGAACCAATGGTTAAGGTTGAAGAACCTTGGTGAAAACTTAGAGAGAATTCTCCACGGTTTTAGAATGGACTCTTGATGAGAGAAATCTGATTATTATTTCTCAATTTGCTCAAAAGTGACTACATAGGAGGTATTTACAAATATATAGAGAAAAGGTAGCTTCTAGGAGAAGCTAACCTTAACCATGGTTCACTAGGAACCATGGTAAGGTTTACTTAACTCCCTACGGTTTAGCAAGCTTACAAGGGAAGCTAACCTTGACCATGGTTCACTTAAGAACCATGGTAAGGTAAGCTTACCTTACTTGAGTTTAGAAGCTTGCAAG